CAGTTATGTAATGGTATCTGCGGGGGAAGTGGCAGCCTTGGGACTAAGCCTCAACCTGTGGGATCTAACGCTATCTCCAAGTAGTGTCAGAATTAATTAGAGGTCACCAACTGGTCTCTATACAGAACTGATTGTTTGTTTGTTTGGTGGGGAGAATCCCCCAATTTGGTCACTAAGTCTTCTGTGTTGATTGTTGTTAATAAAAACAACTCAGTGTTCTGTCACTTAAAGTGAGCACTAAATATATTACAGTTTAAAATGATACTGGCTGGGCATGGTGGCTCATGCCTGTAATCTAGCACTCTGGGAGGCGAGGCAGGCAGATTGCTCGAGGTCAAGAGTCTGAAACCAGCCTGAGCAAGAGCAAGACCCCATCTCTACTATAAATAAAAGAAATTAATTGGCCAACTAATATATAGAGAAAAAAATTAGCCGGGCATGGTGGCATATGCCTGTAGTCCCAGCTACTTGGGAGGCTGAGGCAGGAGGACTGCTTGAGCCAGGAGTTTGAAGTTGCTGTGAGCTAGGCTAACGCCACGGCATTCACTCTAGCCTGGGCAACAAGTAAGACCTGTCTCAAAAACAACAACAACAACACAAAAAAAAAACGCAAAAAAAAAAAAAAAAAGGCCAAGGACCCTTGGTTCAATCCCCTGGGTGGGAACCCACAGCCTTCCACACAAGAGAAGATAAAATGGTCTGGGAGTGGAGAAGTTCCTGGAACTATAACATAAAGATGTAAAGGTTGATATGATTGTGAAGGTTGGAATGTTTAAACACACTTTATGTAAAGAAGTTGTATCTCCTTTACCTGACTGGGGACTGTTTCCCTTACATAGTACTGTAAAATAAAAGGCATGTAAATCTACCCTTCAAGCACCATTTATTAGACATGCTAATGGGAACCAGTAGGATTATCTGAGCTCATGCAGTATAGAATAGAAGCTGGAGTGCTGGCAGGGACAAGTTCTCCATTTGATAGCCCTTGGGGGAGTGTTTACAGGGCTTATGGCAAAAACATATGAGCACCTCCTGACAACTATTGGGACTTTAGACTAGAGAATTTCCACTTGAAGTGAATTTACTACCTTATCATAAGACATTAACTGAAGCTACCCCTATGATTGAAGGACACAAAATTATCTTGAAACCTGAAATAATCATGATTTTTTGGGTGATGTCAGAGCGCTCTGAAGGGGAAGACAATGCCCAGAAGAGTACAATAATAAGATGGAAATGGTTTATACAGGATCATGCTACCTGGGGAATACAAGGAGAGGATACTCGTGCACAGGGAGCCTCTTCTCCCCTAGAAATGACTCTGGAACTGTTATATCCAGGAGCTACTGGATTCCACAGTGCCCTATAAACAGCTCTCAACTGACTGACCATGGTTTGTGAATGACAGTTTCAAGGTGAATGGACAATAATGCTGGTTTGGCAGGCTACCACTCTAAATTGGCTTGGTGAGCTGAATTGCACTGCCAGTTTTTGTAGCCTTGATGAAAAAATTGAACAGTGGTAAAAGCCCGTGTTTGGGTTTTTACTGACTCTGCAGGCAGTGACCAATGGCTAGGCCATACACTGAGGAAAGAGGGTAATGGAAACTTAGCCTAACAAACAGATGGCCATATGGGACATGTGGATGACAATCAAAAGAGCAGCATTACCAGTTCTGAAGGTGACTGGAATCGACAAGCATTCATGTGCTGTCTTGACATGGTCATGAAATGAGGGGACATGGAGGTACTGTAGCAGTGCAGAGATGGTCTGAATCTAGACATGTTCTTTTGCACCCTCCCAGGCACATAATGCCAATCATTTCTTTGTTTTTTTTGAGACAGAGTCTCACTGTGTAGCCCAAGCTAGAGTGCTGTGGCGTCAGCCTAGCTCACAACAACCTCAAACTCCTGGGCTCAAGCAATCCTACTGCCTCAGCTTCCCGCGTAGCTGGGACTACAGGCATGTGCCACCATGCCCGGCTAATTTTTTCTATATATATTAGCAGGCCAATTAATTTCTTTCTATAGCAGAGACAGGGTCTCGCTCTTGCTCGGGCTGGTTTAGAACTCCTGACCTTGAGCAATCCGCCTGCCTCGGCCTCCCAGAGTGCTAGGATTACAGGTGTGAGCCACTACGCCCGGCCCAATCATTTCTTCAGACCAAAGAACACACAGTACAGCTCATAATGTCCAGCAATGGGCAAAGGGATATCCTACTCAGAGTAACAGTTGGATAGAAAAGTAGAAAGAGCAATTAAAACATTCGTTATCCAAAACAGGGGGAGATACAAGCATAAAGGACTGGCTTACATACCTTCATAAGAGTGTACTCACACTCAACATGAATAGGACTAAAGAAGTGTTCCTACTAGATTTTCCTTGTTTTCCACTTGATCTGGGAAGAAGGGGTGGGGGAACATGGTGGTCTAACTATGCAATTCTTGCCAAGGGAGGAGTATGTTGATATAGTGATTATACTCTTTTCTTTCTTCCCCATGTCACCTCAACTTTTTTTTCTTTCCCTTACCTGATGCACTAGTCCTAGGACCAGAGCTGCAACTACAAATGTTCAAATGAGGGATGATTCCTAAGCAAGAAACTCTAACTACATTTTTAAACCTCATGCCAGAATTTCTAAGGGGCTAATGGAGGTGGGTTGTGCAAAACTGGGTTTAAAAGTGAATACTGCGCCTAGAAATGGTGCACTAGTTTGGCACCTATGTAATCTTACCCTCTCTGAATGGTAATGACCTGAGGTACTTCCTAGACTAGTTCCGTTGCCTACAATCTAGCCCAACAGAGTGATGATTCTAATGTCTCCTCCAAAGCTTATTAATAAAAAAAAAAGGAGAATAGTAGCTAAGCATAAAGGAATAAATGCAGTATAAATTCAAGGAAATGGGCCGGGCGCTGTGGCTCACGCCTGTAATCCTAGCTCTCTGGAGCCGAGGCGGGCGGATTGCTCGAGGTCAGGAGTTCGAAACCAGCGCTGAGCAGAGGCGAGACCCCGTCTCTTACTAATAATGAAAGAATTAATTGGCCAACTAATATATATACAAAAAATTAGCCGGCATGGTGGCGCATGCCTGTAGTCCCAGCTACTGCGGAGGCTGAGGCAGGAGGATTGCTTGAGCCAGGAGTTTGAGGTTGCTGTGAGCTAGGCTGACGCCATGGCACTCATTCTAGCCTGGGCAACAAAGTGAGACTCTGTCTCAAAAAAAAAAAAAAAAAATTCAAGGAAATGCAAAATTACATTAACACCTTTCCATATATGACCCAATGCATCTCTTCATCTGGCTATTTGTATCCTTTAAAATATTCTTTGTAAAAACCAGTGAACATAAGTGTTTTTCTGAGTTCTGTGAGCCACTCTAGCAAATTAATTGAACCCAAAGAGGAGGTTGTGGAAACCTCAACTTGAAGCCAGTCAGAAGTTCCACGACTTCAAGTTATAGTATAATTAAAAAAAAAAAAAAAGTTCAGAGGCCCAGTTATGTAACTGGTATCTGGGGGGAGAAGTGGCAGCCTTGGGGACTAAGCCCTCAACCTGTGGGATCTAACGCTATCTCCAAGTAGTGTCAGAATTAAATTAGAGGTCACCCAACTGGTCTCTATAGCAGAACTGATTGTTTGTTTGTTGGTGGGGAGAAATCCCCCACATTTGGTCACTAAAGTCTTCTGTGTTGATTGTTGTTAATAAAAACAACTCAGTGTTCTGTCCACTTAAAGTGAGCACTAAATATAATTAACAGATTTAAAATGATACCTGGCTGGGCATGGTGGCTCATGCCTGTAATCCTAGCACTCTGGGAGGCCGAGGCAGGCGGATTGCTCGAGGTCAAGAGTCTGAAACCAGCCTGAGCAAGAGCAAGACCCCATCTCTACTATAAATAGAAAGAAATTAATTGGCCAAACTAATATATAGAGAAAAAAATTAGCCGGGCATGGTGGCATATGCCTGTAGTCCCAGCTACTTGGGAGGCTGAGGCAGGAGGACTGCTTGAGCCCAGGAGTTTGAAGTTGCTGTGAGCTAGGCTAACGCCACGGCATTCACTCTAGCCTGGGCAACAAAGTAAGACCCTGTCTCAAAAACAACAACAACAAAAAAAAAAAAACCTGGGGAGGACTACTCTGATATTTACAAATGCTGGTTCTTCATCTTCAATGAAATGGACTGAAAGGAAATGGGATACTAGTAGCAGAAATTTTTATTAGATTTGAAAAAATGCTACCTAAGAATAGGGTCCATTGACCATTAGGATTCTTACCCTATGCCAAGTGTGATGACATATGGCTGTAATGCCAGCTACTAGGGAAACTGAGGCAGAAGGATTGCTTGAGCCCAGGAGTTCGAGCCTGGGCAACATAGTGAAACCCCTGTCTCAAAAAATAAATAAATAAAAACACAAGAAAACAGAAAGGATTCATACCCAAATGGCTATGAAAACTTTTCTCTCCAATCATTTTTATAATAAATATAAGTCAGACTCTATCCAGATTGTAACAACACAGAGTGGTCTAAAATCTCAAGATTCCTTCTTAGCCTATAATAACTCATCAAGCTTACTCTTCAAAGACTGAACCTCAAGGAGGCTCAAAAGGGCCGGGCGTGGTGGCTCACGCCTGTAATCCTAGCACTCTGGGAGGCCAAGGCTGGCAGACTGCTCAAGGTCAGGAGTTCGAAACCAGCCTGAGCAAGGGTGAGACACCATCTCTACTAAAAATAAAACCAAATTAACTGGCCAACTAAAAATATATAGAAAAAATTAGTCGGACATGGTGGTGCATGCCTGTAGCCCTAGCTACTTGGGAGGCTGAAGCAAAAGGATTGCTTGAGCCCAGGAGTTTGAGGTTGCTGTGAGCTAGGCTGATGCCACATTACTCTAGTCTGGGCAAGAGAGTGAGACTCTGTAACACACACACGACACCCCACACACAAAAAAGGACAAAAGGAGACTCAAAGAACCATGTACCCCAGTAGTGTACAAAAACACTTACCCATTAGCGTAATAAGCTTATTCTTCAGTTGTGTGTCTAACCGTGCAATCATCATCTCCACTGCATTCCTAATTTCCCGAACACGTTCATCTTTTGCATTTCTTACAGCTTCTACATTTCTTTCCTAGAAGATAACCATGTAAAAATATCTTTAATTGGAGAATTTTAAAAACAGAAGCAAGGAGACATTAATGCAATCGTTGCAATTATTCCTTCCCCCTCCCACCAATTTTTTGTATGTTGCCCACTATATGTTGCCCAGGTGGTCTGGAACTCCCAGTCTCCACTGATCCCCTCCCACCTCAGCATCCCAAAGTGCTGGGATTACAGGTGTTAGCCACTCACCGCACCTAGTCTCCTAGCCTGAAATTATTAAAGTTGGTTGATTCCCTCTTTAAAATCTATAAGTCAATAACAGTATTTTTAAATTGTTGATATAGCATAAGCAACTTGTGGCTTTAAAAAAATTCTGTGCACTGAACTGAATCAGGTTTAAAAACCTGTTTAAAAAAAAAACAAAGCATAACAAAGTATATGATATGTCGACAGTTAAACAGAAAGATTCGTAATTATAAAAAGTGATTTAGGTAACATAACACACAACACATACTGAAAATACCAATCATCCCTGATAGGAAACCACTTTTCAAAAACAAAAAAAATAAAGCTAGTTGACATACTAAAAAATCCTAAAACAAATGAAATTTTTAAAAAAACCAGTATCTACTTTAGTTGACAAACTTTTTTTGTTGTTTTTAGAACTAAATACAAAAAGAAAAAAATATGGTTTTCCAAGATTACAGAGTAGTGTATGTAATAGATTTCGAACTGGTGTACCACAGAAAATAAAAACATGTATTTCTCATACTTATTATTACATAAATATAAGCAGTGAAAATCTTAGCCTGTAACACTCTCCTTAACCACTTCGGGACTGTGCAATAGCTTGTGCTGAGCATTGATGACGAATCCGTTTTGCTCATGTGTGATGAGGAAAGCTTTAAAGCACTGAAAGCTTGTTTTACTTTACAGGCAGCTTTACTTGTAATGTAAATATTAGAATAGGTAACATATACATATATGTTTTCATTACGTTATTTTTAAATGTTCACAATTTTATTTTGATAAATGAAAAATCAAAAAAGTCATATCACAGCTGTCGGCTGAAGTCGACATGCACATTCATCTGTGGCTGTCAACTACAATTGACACTGGTCCCGAAGTGTTAATGACCATATTATAATACTCCCAAAAAAAAGTAACAGCAAAAACGTAGTTAGATGAAGGCCAAATAGACACTATCCAAATTGCTTGTATACATGTAATTCAAAGACACCATTTTCTGCATAAAGAATGTTATAAATGATGATTTAGTTATTGATTCCTTAAGGGGTAAAACAAAGATGACATCTGTTTCTAAATTAGGAATGATCCACAAATCTCATTTATAACTGTCATTCTGGCAATTTTAAACAAAAATGTATTCTAAAAATGTATTTAGAACTTAACTGTTTGGAGCTTATCAGATTTTTCCATAGAAATGTTGTAACATAATAAATAGTTCACCAAAGCTGATTGACCCATACAAGATCTGAAAAGTAGTGTTAAATTATTACTTTTTCAATATTGTGGATTTCTAATTCAGGGCATCATAAATAGTTCATTCCTTGGTAGAAGAAACTAGCCCCAAACCAGGGGATCCAAAGAATATATAATTTAACAATTCTGTAAAAGTCAATATTGACTCTATAAGAAACAGATTTCACAGACTTCTGTAACTCACTAATTGACTTTCTAATTCTGCAAAAGAGGCAATTCTCTGGCTCTGCTTCCTTACAGAACAGGGCTTTGGATGCAAATTCCTTAGCTAGTCTGAAGTTGATGAAATTGACTATAGATAGATACTATATAATTTGCAAATCTTGAAAGTCTTTATTTCAACATCTGATTGATTTGTATATATTACAAAATATATAAGTATAAAAAGAATAATGATCTTTAACAGTAACCTTACCACTTCTTGAACTAGGCTGATCAATTCCATGAGACGCCGACGAAGTTTGGCTACTTCTTCGTTCACTTTAGTGACATGCTGCTCATAAATTTCTGCCAAAGGTTTAAAGGTATGTCCACCATGCTATTTAAATTAATAAGAGTAGTTTTAGAAAATTTTACATATTTTGTCTGCATTTCTATTCCCTTGTAACATTCCATGAACACTAATAAACTAGTAAATATTTTCAAATGAATTCTATCTTTTTAGCTACCTTCATTTTGTTAAAGCAGACCAATATTTGCTTAAAATCATTTGGCCATGTAGGAACTCTTTCAAGATTATAAATAACATACTTCAGGAAAATATTCATTTACCTAGAGACTGACTCATTAGAAAGAACCAAAATCATTAACCCTGGGCCAAATCATCTACCACAACCTTGCTTTTCTCTCAGGCAACACTCACCTTCTTCAGTGTCCTCAAACTTCTTTCTACTGTGCCTTTGTAAAAGTTACTCCCTCTTATTCAGAAATAATTCTCCATCTTCTGTCCTCCATCTCTATACCTCTTAACTAGTACTCTTCCTTTGAAGCCTAGGTCAGGCTTACAGGGTTAGCTATGGAAGGGTCAGCTTCCATAGTTATGCATTATGTACTCTCATCAGCTCTCTATATTTATTCTTCAAATTTATTACATGGCTTAAATGTAGAATTAACTGTTTGGTATCAGTCTTGTTCATCACCAAATCCCAAGTCTTCCCAATAGCTGAATCAATTAGAAAAACACTTGAGGGAAAAAGCCAGGGCACATAATCAGCAAAAGTAACAAACCCATTTCCGGTGCCAAAAACAGTTACTGTAGAGATGGAAGGCTAATACAAATTAGCCTCACAAGTCCAATTGCATTCAGCTCAAAAACAATTTTTTGGAGCTAACAACATAAAAAGAATTTTCTGTCCATTTTTGGTATCATATAATTCTCTTGACTGGTAGAAGTATTAAATTTCTATTTTAAGAAACTTCCCATAAGAAATAAGTTCTTACTAGAATTGCCTCATCTAGACAAAGTATCTCACTATGGTCTCCAAAAGAAAAAAGATGTAGATTTCCACATTTACATTTTAAATGTGGGAAAAAAAGTTTCCACTGCCTCTTACAAACCCATCCATTTAAGTATTAAATTGTTGGAACTTAATTTTTTTCTAGTCAGCACATTAGTATGGAAATTCTAACAGAACTGAATTCTGCTCAACCAATTTGGCCTGCCATTCTCTATGTAAAACATACTGACACTGATGTCCACAGAATAAACAGTTCTCATGGCTGACAACTCTAGATGTCTACCCATTTCTGCTCCCCCATACACTTATTTTTCCCACTAAGAATCTATTGTGTTTATTATCAACCTATTTATGCCAATTGTACTTATTATTACAAGTAAATCATTTAATCAAATATTAAATAGAATATGACAATAAAATAAAAAGTTGCTTCTATGAAAACTAACTTGAATGATTTAAACTTGATTGAATGCTTTAAGGTAGATTCCCTTAAAAAAATGGCTTCTGAATTAGACTAGAAAAAATAAACTAAAAGATAAAATAAAATGAAAAAATCTAGGCATCTGCATTCATACTGTTTCATGAGTATCTAAGTTTCTGCTCCATTTAAAAGAAACCAAAAAAAAAAAAATAATAAAAGAAACCAAAATTGGATACCATAGCCAGTCTATCAGATCAACTGACCCTTAATCCAAAAAAAGACCTGAGCCTACAACAAAAGATTTGCAAATGAATACAGTGTAAGTTATATAAATACTAGGTTAAAATAAAACATTTATGCTAGGGGTAATCTCTTATATCAAATACCCTACAAAAAAAGGTTCTTCTGGAATAACAGAAGGTACAGTATCTTTAACAAAGCATCGAAAAAGCAGATGCATTTTAATTTTCATTCTCTAAAAAAAAATGATACTATGATCTATTATATCTAAATCAAATAATTATTTCAGTGCTTTCAGTTTCTAACTAAAAAGAATATACTAAATTTGTTCTGCTCACCATTCCTCCCCAAAGTGCACACTGATGGCAGATACACTTCTTACAAGTCCAGCAAAATACACTAAGTTTTTCATGGTGATTTTCACATCTACATATTATGAAAAGAAAATAAAGTTATAAATTAAATAAATTAAAATTGAAACATAATTACCTAAACAAATTCCTAAGCTTGAGCAAACAGGTCAATTTTAAACAATTATATCTCAGGAAACACAATATAAAATGTACTCTATTCCATGGCTTATGTGAATTAAGCTAAAGAATTATATAAGGAAGCTGGGCGTGGTAGCTCACACCTGTAATCCTAGCACTCTGGGAGGGTAGAGGATTGCTTAAGGCCAGGAGTTCAAGACCATCCTGAGCAAAACCAAGACCCCATCTCTACAGAAAACAGAAAAATTAGCTGGGCATGGTGGCACATGCCTATAGTCCCAGCTACTGGGGGGTCGAGGGGGAGGGTGCTGGGGGCTGAGGCAGAAGAATCACTTGAGCCTAGAAGTTTGAGGTTGCAGTGAGCTGTGATGATGCCACTGCACTCTGGCCTGCACACCAGCAAGACTGTGTCTCCAAAAAAAAAAAAAAAAAAAAAAAGAATTATATGGGTTTTTTTTTTAGAGTACTGTTTTCATTTATCTGGACTTTACAATCACATGCAAAATTAAGATTTGTTTCTAGAAAGAGGTGCAAATATTGTATCATTTCCTAACATTTTAGGCAAGTGCTTAATAATCAGATTAATTTTTGTGTCTATACCTACCATGCACAAATATTTTCCTACATATGGTCAATGATAATAACAGTAACCAAAACAGGGGATTAACTGTACAATGTAATGCCAGTCAGATTCAGCTAGTTGTGGTGGCTCACCCCTGTGTAATCCCAGTACTTTGGGAGGCCAAGGTGAGAGGAGCACTTGAGGCCAGGAGTTCAATATCAGATTAAACAACACAGCAAGACCTCATCACTACAAAAAATTTAAAAAATTAGCCAAGTGTAGTAGTGCAAGCCTACAGTCCCAGCTACTCGGGATAATGAAGTGGGAGGATCACTTGAGCCCTGTTGTTTGAGGTTGCAGTGAGCTGATGTCACTGCACTCTAGCCCAGGAAACAGAGCAATACCCTGTCCCAAAACAGAGTAACAAACAAAAGAACCCCACACATACAAAAAACTAGATCCTCAAGTCAAATGAACAACTCAATTTTAAGTTTTCTCTTAAATTGGATATCTGCATACAAAAAGAGGAAATCGAGCTATTGTGGACTGAATTGTGTCCTCCCCCAAAATTCATATGTTAAAGCCTTAACCGCCAATATGACTATATTCTCTATATCAACTCTTTAACAAGATAAATGAGGTTAAATAAAGTTATAAGAGCAGGACCCATATCCAACAGGACTAGTCTTTATAAGAAGAGGAAGAGATACCAAGGGTGTGTGCGCGCACACACACACACACACACACACACATACACACACACACAGCAAAGGCCATGTGAGAACACAGATAGAAGGTGGCTGTTGTGCACAAGTCAAGTAGAGAGGTAAGCAACACCAGATAATAACCCTGCCGGCACTTTGACTTGAACTTCCACCCTCCAAGACTGTGAGAAAATAGATTTCTATAGTTTAAGCCACTTAGTCAGTGGTATTGTTATGGCAGCCCTAGCAGGCTGATAATAGACCCTTACTTTACATCCTATACAAAAATGAACTCCAAATGGACCAAAGACCTAAATGTAAGACCAAAAAGTATAAAATTCTTAGAGAAAAACATGGAGGAAAAGCTTCATGACATTAGATTTGGCAGTGATTTCTTGGATATGACACCAAAAGCTCAGGAAACAAAAGTAAAAATAGAAAAACTGAACTACATCAAAATTAAGAACTTCTGAGCATTAAAGGTCAGAATTAGCCGGGCGCAGTGGCTCGCACTTGTAATCCTAACACTTTGGGGAGGCCAAGGCAAGAGAATCACTTGAGGCCAAGAATTCTAGACCAGCCTGGGCAAAAATGAGACCCTCTCTCTAAAAAAAATCAAAAAAATAGCCAGGCATGATGGCATGTCCACGTAGTTCCAGCTTCTCGGTAGGCTGAAGCAGGAGGATCTCTTGAACCCAGGAATTTGAGGTTACAGTGAACTATGACGGCATTATTGTACTCTAGCCCAGGAAACACAGGAGAGACCCCATCTCAAAAAAAACACCAAAATACAGGTCAGAATCAACAGAAAGGAAAGGCAACCTATGGAATTTATGGAATGGAGGAAAATATTTGCAATCAAATATCTGATAAGGGGTTAATATCCAGAATATATAAAGAACTCCTATAATTCAATAAAAAACAAGATTAAAAAATGGGCAAAAGACTTGAATACATTTTTTTTGCACATGAAAAAATCCTCATCCATCACTAATTACTAGGGAAGTACAAATCCAAACCTCATACCCATTAGAATGTTTGCTATCAAAAAACAAAAAATTGTTGCCAGGATGTAGAGAAATTGGAACCCTTGCGTACTGTTGGTGGGACTGTAAAATGGTCCAGCTACTATGAAAAACAGTCCAGAAGTTCTTCAAAACATTATAGAATTACCATATGATCTAGTAATTCTACTTTTCAGTATATAACCAAATGAACTGAAAGCAGTCTTGAAGACACAAACACCCATGTTCATGGCAATATTATGGCCAAATGGTGGAAGCAACACAAATGTTTATTGATAGATGAATGGGAAAACAAAATGGAATATATACATACAATGGAATATTATTCAGCCTTAAAAAGGAAAGAAATTCTGACACACGCTCCATAGATGAACTTCGAGGACATTATGCTAAGGGAAATAAACCAGTCACAAAAAGACAAGTACTGTATAATTGTATTAAATACTTATATGAGCTACCTAGAGAAGTCCAACTCATAAAAACAGAAAGTACAATAGGGATTGCCGGGGGCTGGTGGAAAGAGAGAATGAGGCATAGTTTTTTAACCGGTATAGTTTCAGATCTGCAAAATGAAAAAGTTCTGGAAATCGGATAGACAACAATGTAAACCCACTTAATAAAACTGAACTATTCATTTTAAAATAGTTAAGATGGCAAATTTTATGTATATTTTACCACGATTAAAATTGTTGAAATTACATTTTCTCTTGCTTATAAACCATATAAAGCAGACACACTCTCGCATCTTTTATACTTGATCTTAGCCAAAAGGTGAAGAAGCAATACTCTTGCATTTTTTAAAAAGTATTTCACTGATCAAAGACACTGAGCTTAGAGAAAATACCTACATAGGTCAATATTTTATACTTCTCATTCATAAGTAATGTGAATATCATACAGAAAATTAACAGAGGTTAGAAGAAACAGCATATTAGATGCTGTCTGGAAGCTTATTTAGCAAGATTTCCAACCTACCAAATTTCTTTATTTTTGAGATAAGGTCTCATATATTGCCCAGGCTACAGTATAGTGCCACCATCATAGCTCACTACAACATAAAACTCCTGGGCTCAAGTGATCCTCCTCCCTCAGTCTCCTGAGTTAATGGGACTATAGGCACACACCACCATGCCTCACTTATTTTTTTTCTATTTTTTGTAGAGACAGTCTCACTATGCTACCCAGGCTGGTCTGGAACTCCTGGGCTCAAGCAATTCTCCTGCCTCGGCCTTCCAAAGTGCTGGGATTACAAGCGTGAGCCACTCTGCCCAGCCTCTAAACTACCAAATTTATAATACAGCTTTTATAATGTAGGAAATTTACTGGAGCTACTTTTTTTTTTTTTTTTTTTAGTCTCGTTTTGTTGCCAGGCTAGAGTGAGTGCTGTGGCGTCAGCCTAACTCACAGCAACCTCAAACTCCTGGGCTCAGGCAATCCTGCTGCCTCAGCCTCCCAAGTAGCTGGGACTACAGGCATGCACAACCATGCCTGGCTAATTCTTTCTGTATATATTAGTTGGCCAATTAATTTTTTTCTATTTATAGTAGAGATGGGGTCTTGCTCTTGCTCAGGCTGGTTTCGAACTCCTGACCTCAAGCAATCTGCCAGCCTCAGCTTCCCAGAGTGCTAGGATTACAGGCATGAGCCCCAGCGCCCGGCCTAGAGCTACTCTTAATCAATGACCTATATGTACCTTCAGCAAGCCAAGGAGGCCCACCAGGAATTGAACAGCAAAGACGACTGGCAGATTAGTAAACCATAGCATTTCCATTCTTTTTATGAGAGGCTCTAATAAAAGAGGCCCAACAGAGGTAAAGGGTCCTCTCAAATAGATCATTTCAGAGGGAAAAATCCTAAGTGTTCACCTGTGAAATGTCCTATTATATATTTTTTTAAAAGATTAAATAATTATTTTTGGTAAGACTTCCATATTGGTAGAAGTAACAAAATCCTTAAGGGTCTAGTTTAACCAGAATAATAACGGAAACAACACTGGGTTTTAATTGTGATTATGCATTAACATCTTATATTACCACAGTTAAGCTTATCTTTATAGTTCTCAGTATAACGAAGAAACAGGTATAAATTTTTTCTAAGGACCCTTGAAGTTTTTTTTTTTTTTTTTAGAAGCACCAGAGTCCACTGAGGCATTTTATTTGTAAGTATGTATTACATCCCTAGAAAAAGAATCCCAGAATTTTCCCTCCTGTGTGTTTTCTTCTTGCTTCTTCATGGCCCATGATGCCAGCTGAAGTTGTCAACACAATGAAATCAAACTGGCGGGATGGGAGCAGATTATTCTGCCATTTTTCTAGAGCTTTGAGTTGCACATCAAATCTGGGGCTGATCCCTCCACACTTGTTTAACCTGTCTGTGAGGTTCACAACAATTTTCCCAGCTCTGTGACCATCCATGATTTCAAATTAGCCAATGTAATCATGCTTCATCATCACAGTTAGAAACCGGACAATGACTTTGGAGCACGGCCTTATAAGAACCTGGCGTCTGCCTCTCTTTTCGGCATTGTTGATGCGCTTTAGAGCATCAGCCAGGACATTCATGGGCACCATTATGGCGGCACGGAAAGATGGCGGAAAGTGGACCCTTGAAGTTTTTAACATCTTACCTTTAACATGTTGTGAATCTATAGAAAGTAATATGGCTTTATTTCTAAATGTTCAAGAGTCCTAGAATGTCTCCAAATTCAAGTTATTTTATTATTGCTGGGGTGAAGCCTTGCAATTAACCATGTTGTAGGTTCTTTACATGCAAAAACAAATTACTACCACATTACTAATCTTTCCTTTATCAGCTTATCATAACAACTCTTCAGATATGATCAAAATTCTTCAATCATGGAGCATAAGACTTAACACTGTATTATCAAATAATTTATCAAATAAGAATCATTAAAAATATTACCTAAGAAGAACATGAAATGAACAAATTAAAAACTCAGGGATTATTACATTATTTACTTATAAATAACTAGAGAACTACCAATATAGTATCATTAAAATAACAGAAGGCAAAATCTACTAAATATTGAAAAAAGAAATTGAGGACATACTTATCCTTTTCATTTTCTTCATGTTTTGTGAGACTGCAGAGTTGAAGAGTATCAAGCTGTTGTGTTACTTCTTCTGCCCAACGACAGTTTACTAATTCTCGTAGCTGGAGTGGAGCACTGGGGAAAAAAATCCATAGATACATTCTAACTCAGTAAGTTGAGATTATTTTCTAAAATAAACACATTCCTGGCTCACGCCTGTAATGCTAGCACTCTGGGAGGCCAAGGCGGGCGGACTGCTCGAGGTCAGGAGTTTGAAACCAGCCTGAGCAAGAGCAAGACCTCGTCTCTACTATAAATAGAAAGAAATTAATCGGCCAACTAATATATATAGAAAAAAAAATTAGCTGGGCATGGTGGCGCATGCGTGTAGTCCCAGCTACTTGGGAGGCTGACGCAGGAGGATCGCATGAGCCCAGGAGTCTGAGGCTGCTGTGAGCCAGGCTGACGCCATGGCACTGTAGCCTCGGAAACAGAGACTCTGACTCAAAAAAAAGGAAAAGAAAACAAATTGCAAAACACTATATCATTTGTGTTTTTTTGTTTATTTTTGGTTTGGTTTTTTTTTTTTCTATTCACAAAGAAAAAGCTCCAGTCCATCTTTTAATTTTTTGAAAAATTCCTGACATTACAGAACTAAACTGAAATGTATTAATACTCCACTCTTACATTTCCATGACAAATAGAAAATTCATGAGCAAAAAAAAAAAAAAAAACAGGGAAAAGCTTATAAAACTAAATATGGATCTCAGCATTTAACAGCTGAACAGAGAAAGGAATTAAAACGCTTTAATTAAAAAATCACGAGTGGATGATAAAGTGTGTAGAAACTGAAAATTTACAAACTATTTAAAACCTGGAATCGCTGACTGTTCAGAAACTACACAGATGGGTGGTGGTGAACAGCAGAAAGAGATAATGGATGAATCTGCATTGTTCTAGCTGCTCCCCATGCCATCTGTCTCCGAGGAAAGCCTGACATTGATTAGATATTGAGCCAGGCTAATGCTGGCAGCAGATCCAGTGATGGTAACCTGCCTATCAGTAGATCCTTCCACTGGGTTCGCAATTTTGATCTGCGCCCCAGACATCTGACGGATCTCATTGATTTTGGCGCCTTGACGCCCGATTATGCAGCTAATCAAATCGTTTGGAATAGTGAGTTCATGAGAAGTAGTCTGAGCAGATGCATCCAAACCTGCCCAATAGCCTTTCACCTCTGGAGAGCTGGATTCAATACCACTGAATCCGGCGTTGCCATGCGTCATGGGAAAATGAGACTGTTGCACTGCCAACTGGTGCAGCTTGGTCAAATCTGGCTGTGGAATGGCATACTGTCCTTGAATGGTATAGGCCTCTAGAGGTGGTCCCTCCAGGTCAGGGTTGAGGCACATGGACGGGGTGGTGTGGGGAAAGCTCGCACTGTCGCTGCCTGTGCTGTACCTGTCCTGACTACCTGCAAAGATGACCGGAGAACTGGACGGCTTGGGCCGGTACAGGATGGTCACGCCCTTCGGGGGGAACTGGGAGAGAGTCTCCAACATGACCACGCAGATCTGTTTGACACACTCAATGATGGATTGAGGAATGCCAGCAATAGTGATGGCCCGCTCAGTTGAGTTGGGGAGCATATCCCCTGCCACCTGGACCTGAGCGCCTGTACTCTCTCGTATTTCCTTGATCTTGCAACCACCTTTTCCAATGAGAGAGCCACATTGACTGGCAGGGACCACCAGCCTCAGGGTGACCGGGGATCTACTAGCAGCTGTACTATTGGTCATAGAGCTGCTGATGTCCTCTTCCAGTTTGTCAATGATCATAGCAAAGGCTTTGAAGATGGCATTAGTGGGTCCAGCCAAAGTGTTAATTCTCTCAAGACAATTCCCTTCTGAGATGTTGATACGTGCACCACTCTCTTCGCGCATCTTATTAACTGATTCTCCTTTCTTTCCAATGATACTGCCAACTTCCTTTCCATGCATAAGTAGCCGGATGGTGAGAGTGACATTTAATCCACCTTCAATCACACCGGTGTCCATGTCGAGCACTGTTCTGGGGAGCTGGACTTTGAGTGGTCAAGTCTTTGGTCACTGGTGGGGGTGAAAGCCAAAAACTGTAGGCGCGAGACGACTGAGGGGAAAAGGGGAGCGGGCGGGAATGGGAAGGGAGGGAGGCCGGGGGCGGAACAATAGGGACATGTGGGAAGGCGAGGGGGGCCACCCCGCAGGCAGTCGGAGGAGGAAGGGGGGGTGGAGGAGGAGGAGGAAGAAGGGGGAAAGAGACCCCAGGGCGGGTGGAGGGCGGTGGAGGGCAGGCGGGAGAGGGCACAGGCTGCGGCTGCTCCAGCTGCTGCCTCTGGTGGTCTGGGCGGTTTGTGGTTTTTTTTTGAGACAGAGTCTCACTCTGCTGCCCGGGCTAGAGTGCTGTGGGATTAACCTAGCTCATAGCAACCTTAAACTCCTGGGCTCAAGCAATCCTCCTGCCTCAGCCTCCCGAGTAGCTGGGACTACAGGCACTTGCCACCGTAACCGGCTAATTTTTTCTATTTTTAGTTGTTTGGCTAATTTCTTTCTATGTAAAGTAGAGACAGGGGTCTCGCTCTTGCTCAGGCTGATCTCAAACTCCTGAGCTCAAGCAATCCTCCCACTTTGGCCTCCCAAAGTGCTAGGATTACAGACAGGCATGAGCCACCACACCCAGCCATCATTTCTGTGTTTTAAAAAAAAGCATATAGGTATACATATCAATATATGCACATATTGGATTAAAGCCTTACAATATATATATGTATACACATGTACAGAAAAATGTCTAGAAAAGATGTCAAACCTAACAATTTCTTCTGAAAGTCTTATTTTATAAAAAGATAGGGTAGGAAGTATAGAATCAGAATCCTTTTACAACCAGAAACAGTAAAACAAAATTTAATTATAAAAGGTAGGAAGTTATACAGTGGTTTTCTAAGAGAGGCAAGGGTACAACAGATCAAACATTACAAAGTATTCCACAAAATTCTAAGTCAGATAAATTGGTTTCTGCATTTTTCTAGACAGATCGCTTATTTTCTATTCAACTATATTCACGAAGAAGGGAATTGTGGCAGATTGCAGAAAAACCTTGCTTTTATGAATCCTAGGGCACACTTGACCAGGGGTCCTCAAACTTTTTAAACAAGGGGCCAGTTCACTGTGCCTCAGACCGTTGGAGGGTAGAGCGCACATTTCACACATGTGCACTGTGGGCCCGGGACGAGTAGGCTGCTAAGCAGGACAGGCAGTGGCGGCAAAAACACCCCATGGGCTGGATAAATGTCCTTGGCAGGCCACCACATGTAGCCCAAGGGCCATAGTTTGAGGACCCCTGCATCTAACCCCATCACCTTACTATTTTCCAAATTCACAAATAATCATGGCAAAACACTTACCGGCAATGAGGACACTGAGCTCTCTGCTCTGTCAGCCAGCGCTAAAGAGGCAAAAGAATTAGATTTTAATTATAAAAACATCAGTACTTTAATTTGTATATACTGACTAAATACTTATACACCAAATTCAATGGGTTTAACTCTCTAGAGCCTAAATTAATTTTGGAGATACTTATAGAAATAACAGTGAAAGTAGGCCAGGTGAGGCGGATCACACCTGTAATCCTAGCACACTGGGAGGCCAAAGAGGGAGGATCGCTGAGGTCAGGAGTTCAAGACTAGCCTGAGCAAAAGCGAGACCCCAAATCTACTAAAAAAAAGAAAGAAATTAATTGGCCAACTAATATATATAGAAAAAATTAGCCGAGCAAGGTGGTGTATGCCTTGCTATAGTCCCAGCTACTTGGGAGGCTGGGGCAGAAGGATTGCTTGAGCCCAGGAGTTTGAGGTTGCTGTGAGCTTGGCTGATGCCACAGCACTCTAGCCCAGGCAACAGCGTGAGACTCTGTCTCAAAAAAAAAAAAAAAAAAAAAAAGAGTACTATTGATACACACAACATGGATAAGCCTCAAAATAATCCTGCTAAGTGAAAAAAGTCAGACACATATTATATGATTCTATTTGTATAAAATTCCAGAAAATGGGGGGGTGGAGCAAGATGGCAGACAAATAACACCGCCAGACAGAGTGTCTCTGCAGATAAGACAGATTCTAGCAGAAATTAGAAAAAAGAAGCAAGAAGACCAGCATACAGCGGACACGGGCAGGAAGGAGGATGTACCTGAGGCCCCCGGGAGACTCCACAGGAGGCGGCTGTGGAGGAGAACTGGAGGCTGAGACCAGCGGAGCAGCCCAGAGACCAGCGGCAAGGGTAGGTGGATTTGCTGTTTACCCTCCCTTGCATTTGGGACTGCTGGTGGGCTCCCCAGCGGGTAGAGAAACCTGAGGACACCAGCCGAGAGACGGCTGCCGCCAGCCAGCAGTGAGCCTGTAGCAGACGTGGCACCAGGTTCCCAACTTCCTCCGGGCACCTCCCTGTGCACAGACTCGAGCCGCGCGGCAGGCGCCATATTGCCTACTCTTCCCCTCCACCGACCCTACCCGAGGCTGCCCAGAGAGACAATACAGCCACCAGCCAGAGGCACCTCCAGGGAACAGGACCTTCCCTTTTGGGACCCTACAGCTGACGGCATAATGGGGGTACAGATTTTAAGGTTTCAATAAATGCCCATGTCCCCCTCCCCCCCCACAAGTCTGAGTCTCCATCATGACCATCCCCCAGATGGTGCACATCTCACTCATTATGTTGTATATCCCACTCCCCTCCCCCTCCCACCTGCCCAATACCCTATTACTGTAGTCCTATGTGTCCACTTAGGTGCTGCTCAGTTAATACCAGTTTGCTGGAGAATATATCTGGTGCTTGTTTTTCCATTCTTGGGATACTTCACTTAGTAGTATGGTTCCAGCTCTAACCAGGAAAATATAAGATGTGCTATATCACCATTGTTTCTTAGAGCTGAATAGTACTCCATGGTATACATATAACCACTTTTATTAATCCATTCTTGGATTGATGGCACTTGGGCTGTTTCCACAGCCTTGCAATTATGAATTGTGCTGCTATAAACATTCAGTGCAGGGTCTTTTTGTAGAGTGTCATTGGATCATTTGGGCAGATGCCCAGCAATGGGATTGCTGGATCAAATGGTAGATTCAGTTGTATCGCTTTAAGGTACTCCATATTGCTTTCCACAGAGGTTGAACTAGTTTGCAGTCCCACCAGCAGTGTAGGAGTGTTCCTCCTCTCCCGCAACCACGCCAGCATTTATTGTTTGGAGATTTTTGATAAAGGCCATTCTCACTGGGGTTAAGTGATATCTCATTGTGGTTTTGATTGCATTTCCTGATGATTAGAGATGTTGAGCATTTTTTCAATGTTTGTTGGCCATTCTTCTGTCTTCTTTAGAAGAGTTTCTGTTCAAGTCCTTGCCCACTTTTTAATGGGGTTATTTGATTTTTTCCTGATTTTCATGATGTCTAAGTATATTCTAGTTATCAGTCCCTTATCGAATGTATAGGATGCAAATTTCTCCCATTCTGTAGGTTGTCTGTTTACTTTCATGACTGTTTCTTTGGCTGTGCAGAGCTTTGTAGTTTGATCATGTCCCATTTATTTATTTTTGTTGCTGCTGTGATTGCCTTTGGGACTTCTTCATAAACTCTTTGCCCAGGCCGATGTCTAGGAGAGTGTTTCCAATTTTTCCTCTAGAGTTCTAATAGTTTCATACCTTAGGTTTAAGTCTGTTACCCAGCGTGAGTTGGTTTTTGTGAGAGGTGAAAGGTGTGGTCCTGTTTAGCCTTCTACAGGTGGCTATCCAGTTTCCCAGCACCATTTATTGAGAGGGATTCTTTTCCCAAGCGTATGTTTTTGTCTGCTTTGTCAAAGATTAGATGCTATATGAGGATGGTTTTATATCAGGATTCTCACATCTGTTCCACTGGTCAATATTCCTATTTTTGTGCCAATACCATATTGATTTAATTACTACAGCTTTGTAGTATAGTTTGATATCTGGCATATTAATGCCTCCCATTTGTTTTTGTTGCCTAGAATTGCTCTTGATATTCAGGGTCTTCTTTGGTTCCATACGAAGCGTAAATTATTTTTTTCTATATCTGTGAAGAATGCTGATGGGATTTTAATAGGTATTGCATTGAATCTGTAGATCAGTTTGGGTAGCATAGACATTTTGATGATATTGAGTCTGCCAATCCACGAGCATGGTATGGATTTCCATCTGTTTACATCCTCTGCTATTTCTTCCTCAGTGTTTCATAGTTCTCCCTGTAGAGGTCTTTTACGTCCTTGGTAAGTATATTCCTAGGTACTTTAATTTCTTTGTTGCTATTGTGAAGGGAATTGAGTCTTTGATTTGGTTCTCAATTAGATTGTTGTTGGCGTATATGAATGCCTCTGATTTCTGTGTATTGATTTTGTATCCTGAGACTTTACTAAATTCATTGATCAGTTCCAGGAGTTTCTTGATTGAATCTTTGGGTTTTCTACATACAATATCATTCATCAGCAAACAGTGAAAGTTTGATCTCTTCTGCCCCTATTTGGATACCTTTGATTCCATTTTCCTGTCTGATTGCTGTAGCCAAGACTTCCAGCACTATGTTGAACAGAAGTGGAGATAGTGGGCAGCCTTGTCTGGTTCCAGTTCTAAGTGGGAATGATTCAATTTTCCCCATTCAGTATGATGTTGGCTATGGGTCTGTCATATATGGCTTGTATCATTTTAGGTATGTCCCTTCTATGCCTATTTTCTAAGTGTTCGTATCATGAAAGGGTGTTGAATTTTGTCAAAAGCTTTTTCTGCATCTATTGAAGAATCATGTGGTC